TGCAATATTGCACTGGCATCAGTGTGTTATGCTGTTAACACGCACACTGAAGGATGATCTGAGCAAAATAAATAGAGTTCTCCTCCAAGAGAAAAGGGCTTTAAAAGCCTTGGGTAGATGGGGCAAGCAAAATACAACATTCAAATGATCACTGAGAAGCAGGGTAGGACACAACAGCAACTCCACAGTCAGAGAGAGCAAACGCTCATATTTTAAGTGTGGGATGCTGGCGTGGAATATAGACAAGGGCTGTTTCGGCCCAAGTGCTACCAAGTCCAGATCCAGAAGTCTCTCCAGTCAAAGCAGAAGGACAAATCTATTGCCTGTGACACATGCACTGAGATGAAGCAGAACTCCTAAAGAATACCACTGGATGTACAGCTGGATAGAAGCTCCTGCGGGTGGGTGTATGTCTTCCTCTTGCATTTGTTATTTGCATGTTGAACTTACTCCACTTCTGCTTGTAGCCTGCATGGATCTGGACATTTCATGTGGTTCCAAGCTCTGGCATTTCTTTTGGAGCCCAATGGAAAATTTTAAAAAGGAATCCGTTGGCTATTGATTCTCTATTTCCCAGTTCCCAGTCTGTGTTTCCTGCTTTGTGCACCTGTGCTATTTACAATCACTCATTTCCATTCAGTTTCCCCTCTGTATACATGGGGAAGAAAATTAAGCTTTCAGCATTTATTTCTAATATATACACCCACTGTTTCCCAGCTGCATTTCTCTATGCCCCCAAGGCAAATCCTGCACAGGAGCATGAGAGACTGACCTGTTCTTCAGCAGCTCCTGCTAGCTCTAGGAGTGATCTCTTTCCCCTAAAAGCCTTCAAGGCATTCAGGCCATACAAATCAATGAGTTAGTTTAGGACAATTCCACTGGAGAAACAGGCTTGAAAAACGTAAGGTTAAATTCCATTAGCTAATACTTTATTAGGGTTTCCATGGTTCTAAACTGTCTTGCATGAAACAGGCAATTTACTTACGGAGAAGCTACTTCATTTGCTTCAGTGCTCACTATTTAGGTACTACTACTACTATTTAAGTAGTCACTGTTTAACTGAGGCTTTAAAATGCCATGGTTCAGGAAACATGCGTATAGAAACCAGTCATGTCCTGAAAGGCCCTGCTGAAAGCTTTGTTAATTCCTGTAAGAGACAGCATTTGGTATAAGAGATGTGAGTGTAAAAACTGCAGTGGCAGGTGTATGACAGTTTATGCCTAACACACAGAAGACACGAAGTTTCTGTATGCGGACCAATGACATCAGTCAACTTTGAGAGGCATTCATTCTGGAGTCTGAGATGTTTGAGAACCAGGCAACAGCAACAATCTAGCACCCTGTATCCTGGTAGGCTGTTTACCAGGCCAAGATGTGATTTTCCAAGAACCTCAAGCTTGTATTTGTTAACACTGATTCTGATGTTACGATACAGAAGTGGTGTTAATACTATGCACCAGAAGAAGGCACTCCAAATCCATCACAGCAAACAGACTGAATAATGGTTGTAAAAAATAAAATTGTCATGGAGAGACACTCAAACAAAATAGAGGTAATTGCCATCAATGAAGTCCTCTGCGTGTCATTGTCTCACTCTTGTCACACCAGAGACATTTTGAGTCTAAGAACAGCCACTGTTCTCTGCTAGAACGTTTACTTGGATTTAGTAATGCAGTACATTAAATATGTATCTTCTTGTTCTCTATCATATCTGCAGCACTTCCTATAGTAATTTTGATACCTTTCTTACATCTGTTTAGTAAGACAATTAAAACCAATTATTTGGCCTATCTTCATATAATTAAACATTACCTGTGCTTTTTTTGCCAGTTACCATCTTTGTTGTGTAGTCTGCTGGATAATAATCTCCCAACATATTTCAAAGAGTATAAAAAGTATGCCAAACTTTGCAAAAACACACTACACACTACCACAGTGTTATTGACTTTATATTAATTCTCCATGAGACACCTTCAGATACCAACCCTAAGTTGACAGAGCAAATAGGTATCACAGAATCATAGAATAGTTTGGGTTGGAAGGGACCTTCGAAGCTCATCTAGCCCAATCCCTTTCTTTCACTACATCTTTCATCTAGATCAGTTTTCTGATCTTTCACTAGATCAGTTTTATCAAAGCCCTGTCCAACGTGGCTTTGAACACTTCCAATGACGAGGCATCCACAACTTCTCTAGGCAACCTGTGCCAGTGTCTTACCACCCACATCATAAAAAAATTCTTATGTCCAACTTAAATCTTCCCTCTCTCAGTTTAAAACTGTGGCACCTTGTCATGTCACTACAGACCCTGGAAAAGTCTCCCTCCATCTTTTGCCTAAGCCCTCTTTAAGTATTGAAAGGCTTCAATAAGGTCTCCTCAGAGTCTTCTCCTCTCCAGGCTGAACAACCCTGACTCTCTCAGCCTGTCCTCACAGAAGAGGTGCTCCATCCCTCGGATCATTTTTGTGGCCCTCCTCTGGACCTGCTCCAACAGGTCCATGCCTTTCCGGTGTTGAGGGCTGAAGAGCTGGACACAGGACTCCAGGTGCGGTCTCACCAGAGCGGAATAGAAGGACAGAATCATCTCCCTTGACCTGCTGGCCACACTGCTTTGGATACAGCCCAGGATATGGTTGGACTTCTGGGCTGTAAGCACATGTTGCCAGCTCATGTCCAGCTTTTCACCCACCAGTATCACCAAGTCCTTCTCAGCAGGGCTGCTCTCAATCTCTTCATCCACCAGCCTGTACTGACACTGGGGCCTGCCTCAACCCAGGTGCAGGACCCTACCCTTGGCCTTGCTGAACCTCATGAGGTTCTCATGGGCCCATTCCTTGAGCTTGCCCAGGTCCCTCTGGCTCGAATCCTGTCCCTCAGGCGTGTCAACTGCACCACTCAGCTTGGTGGTGTCTGCAAACTCAATCCCACTATCTTATGTCATTGATGAAGACATTACACAATATTAGTCCCAGTACAGACCCTTGACACCACTTATTACTGGTTTTCACTTGGACATTGAGCTATTTACTGTAACTCTTTGGATATGGCCATCCAGCCAGCTCCCTATCCTTACCTAGCATAATCATCTAGCCTTGCATATGAAGATGAAGAATTTATAACAGAAATGTATAAGAAAAAGTACTAACTACGGACCTGCTCTGTGCCATACTGTCCCATGAAAGTACTCAGTATATAAAACAAGAAAATGAACACAAGAATTTTGTTTATATGCTTTATATTCTACTATGGAATGTAAAAAAACCCACAAGTGCCCAAGGGGGATTGAAAATGGAAACCCAGAAACAACTTTCTCTTAGAACACCCAAATATAAACTTTATGGCTCCAATACAATCCACTAAAACTGTCTACCTGGGGGCAAAGGTAGCAATGAACACCATTTTTAAGGCCAGCCATCTGATTTGGCTAGATACTAAAGGTAGTAAAAGGCATGTTAGATCTGTAGCCTTCTTTCTGTCAAGCTGCCAGCTCTGGCTCCTGCAATCTAACTTCTTTTTAAAAAGGCACCAGGAAATATGGAAAATTGGTTAACCTATTTTCCCCCATAGCTGAAAAGCACTTGTACTGTTTTGCTAAGGAGAATATGTCCAAATCTAAAGGCTTTCACAGCAGGGGACTGGGTGTCTAATAGAACAAGACTAGCAAGCTAAAAAGCTTATGTACCTACTTTTTAAAATTTTCGTTTGGATTATTTTTTTTTTTTTTTTACATTACTCTCAGAATCTGTACCTTTCATGCTTCTGATCTTTCCCTTCCTTGGCTTGGCTTGCATTCTGATCCACTTCTGCCCCAGACACCCTGTTCTTTCATAGAATCACAGAATAGTTTGGGTTGGAAGGGACCTTTAAAGGTCATCTTATCCAACCCCCCTGCAATGAGCAGGGACATCTTCAACTAGATCAGGTTGACGTTTCAGGGACTTAGAACCTTAAGTTCTAAGCATCACAATGTTTTCTAAAAGTCATCTTTCTAGAAGTGGTGTTTACAAGGTATCACCATCAACCTGTTCCTTGAGTGGTAAAAGTCACTGTCAGACGAACAAAATTCACTCACTAATGACTATAAGTAAATAAATAAAAACTATTTCCACACAGTTTAGAGAAGCATAGGTTTCATTTTTTTATTTACTAGACAAGAAGCAGCAGATTATTTTACTGAAGTCAAATTGTATTAAGAAAATGAAATGCATACATTCAAAGCACTCGAGCACATTCATCACTTAAAACAGAAACTATGATCAGAGGTGTTCAGATCAATGAAGCAGCAAAAGGCCATCACAGTGCTCAGGACACTGGCAGCAAAGTACTTTTCTGTACAGTTCTGTAAGTCACATAAATACATCTTTAGGCACAAATTTGGCTTAGGCATTACCTAAATTTTTTTAATGAGATCATTCATTCATTACACAACTGCTGCTAAGAACCACCACAATTATTAAATCACGTTTTCTAGCACACAAACAAAAACCACTGAAATAAAAAATTGGGATAATGTATAAAAATAGTATAATTTTATTTTGAAATTGTGTGTTTGGTTTTTCTGGTATGTTTCTGAAGTGAGTTGTAACCATTTGCCTTGTTGAATGAAAAGATGGGAGGCGAAAATAGCAAAGCGAATAGCATGTCTGTGAATCTGCTTTCTTAGATCTTATTTTATGAGACTGCAACAGAGGATTACCTAGCCTTTCCTTTCTTCCATCAACTAAAAGGTATCACTGAATAGAGGATGATAACTCGCTACTAACTTTTTTCTTCAGCCACTGTCTGATCCAGCTTGACAGTAAAATTATTCCAAGTTTAAAACATACTCAAAATCTGTTTTTAGCCATCTTATATATTATCAAGCATGATAAAGATTATAAAAGCTGTCTTATGCATTATGATTGGTCAATGTTTACTCCATTCTTTTATGCTTGTAACATTTTTTGAAGATACTATAACCTCTGGAAGTTCGAAAGTGATCCACTCTTCCTTGTGAGCACCCAAACTTCAAGGTCCTTCCAGGTTGTTACTGCTTTGGCAGGACGACCGAACACTGCACTGTTGTCTGAAATACACAAAGTAGATGAATGCTTCCTCTGCCAATGCAGAGCAGAATTACTTTTCAACGTAAAGGCAGACTACATAGCTTCCATTTGGATTACAAACAGGTGTAACTTTTCCATGTGCACAGTAACTCCAACTTCCTCAAACACCACAAAAGTTCAAAGAATTATACGGAAAGCATATCCTTCAACAGTTCAACAACCTGTCATTACAACATTTTAATCCTATGTAATGGGATTATTGGTATTGAGAACAACAATCTCTATCAGGGTTCAATGGCAAGGTCTTGGTAGCAGGGGGGCTGCACTGTTGGCTTCTGTGAGGAGCTGCTAGAAGCCTCCCCTGTGTCTGACAGAGCCAATGCCAGCTGGCTCCAAGACAGACCTGCTGTTGGCCAAGGCCGAGCCCATCAGCAATGGTGGTAGTGCCTCTGGCAGAACAGAGTTAAGAAAGGGTAAAAAAACGGCACAGCAATTGCAGCCAGAGAGAGGAGTGAGAATACATGAGAGCAATAACCCTGCAGACACCAAGGTCAGTGAAGAGGGAGGGGGAGGAGGTGCTCGAGGCACCAGGGCAGAGATTCCTCTGCAGACTGTGGTGAAGACCATGGTGAGGCAGGTTGTGCCCTTGCAGCCCACAGAGCTCCACAGGGGAGCACGTGGGTGCCCGAAGGAGGCTGTGACCCCGCGGGAAGCCCATACTGGAGCAGGTTCCTGGCAGGACCTGTGGCCCCGTGGAGAGAGGAGCCCCGGCTGGAGCAGGTTTGCTGGCAGGGCTTGTGACCCCGCAGGGGACCCAGGCTGGAGCAGTCTGTTCCTGAAGGACGGCAGCCCAGGGAAGGGATCCAGGCTGGAGCAGTTCGTGAAGAACTGCAGCCTGTGGGAAGGACTCACGTTGGAGAAGCTCGTGGAGGACTGTCTCCTCCCCTCAAGGAAGGAGCGGCAGAGACAACATGTGATGAACTGACCGCAACCCCCATGGCCTGTCCCCCTGCACTGCTGGGGGGAGGAGGTAGAGAAAATTGGGAGTGAATTTGAGGGAGGGATGGGGGGAGGTGTTTTAAGATTTGGTTTAGTTCTCATTATCCTACTCTGATTTGATTGTCAATAAAGTAAATTAATTTCCCCAAGCTGAGTCAGTTTTGCCCGTGACGGTAGCTGGTGAGTGATCTCTCCCTGTCCTTATCTCAACGCATGAGCTTTTCATCATATTTTTCTCTCTCCTGCACAACTGAGGAGGGGGAGTGATAGAGAGGCCTTGGTAGGAATCTGGAATCTAGCCAAGGTCATCCCACCACACAATCATACTGCAGCAACGCTAAATTAAGGATTTCAGGCTCATACGCTATAAATGAAAAACTGTGCAGCTTGCTTTTCATTTTTAAGGCTAGTATACTGCCTTATATGCATCACATTCATAGAAAGCTCTTTACAATATAATCAGAATGCTCTGAAAATGAAGTTCCTTAAAAAAAGTGATTTCTATATGTTTCTTCATCAACTTTGAAGAACAGCTATCAAGAACAGAAACCTTTCTCTAAAGGTGCACTGATTGAAAGAAAGACTCCCATGTTATGCAGGGACAGGCAACTTTGACATCACCCACATTCAAGGCTGAGAAACACTTAATCTCAGCTTTCTTGAGAGGTCCTTAGCCTGCAAGGATGACAGGATGTAGACCAAATGCAAGTGCAATTGAAGTGAAGCCTTGGTGAATTTTCCACCGTCACCTTATTCACCTGAACCCATTCACTCTAGTCACATAAGTATGTTCACGGATTTCATCAAGGTATTTTTTCAGGAAGAAAATTACTCAAGAATATATAGAAGGTCAGAGCTCTACATACATAAATTATGAATGTCAGTTTCAGTTTGTGATAGACTAGAAAAAAAGACTGTAAAATGTTAACCTTTATGCCCTTCAACTTGTTAGCTACCAAACATTTTAAAGTCCAAGTATGTCAGTGATGAAGTGTGCTGGAACACACCTTCAGATATCTTACCCAATCTAAACTATTGCACAGTATTCACTTACCACAGCTCTCTTATCGAAGTACATTATTCCTTGTATCGGAGGTCTGAGAAATATAATTTCACATACAATAGTACAGAAGTTCAAAAAAAGCAGGTGGTAGCAGCAGGTCTCCTCACAGAGTCCAGAGTATCTGAGGAGCACTCACAGAAGCTCCAACACCTTACCACAAGCTGATTTTCTTACACCCATGTTGTAAGAAAAATCAGTTCTAACATGACATACCTTTTACCATCCCAGTACAGATTCTCTCCCAAATCCTCATGGGGTTGAACCTTACTGTAATAAAGGTATAGAGCTCAATTCCCAGTTGTTATAGATTAAAATTCTCTTCAACAAGACAGTTATTCCTCTCTCACCAATACTCTTCCTAACAAAGATATTGGTTCCCTTTTGAAATTGTCTGCTATCATTGATTCATTTACTTCATTCAGCAATGAGCCCACGTTTTACTCGACCAGCTTTTGATACCAATGCAGTGACTGAAGTTCCTGTTTCCTTTCATGTCCCTTCCAAGTGTCAGCTACAGACCAGCTTTGGTTTTCCTGAAACCAGCCCCACATACCTGCTATTGCTTCTGGATTCCTTCTTTGTAGTTTGTCCCTGCTTCCAAACCTTGAATTCTGCATTTTCACTCTGGAGCTCTGTTTCCTGTTTAGCCAAGTCAGTCTCCTGATTGGTCTTTCTGTGGGTCAATCCTGTCCTTGGAGAATGCTACCCTTAAAGACCTGCCAGCTTTCTGGAGCTGTTGTTCCTTCAGAGCTGACTCCCATGAGATGATACCTAGTAGTTTACTGGTTAAACTCAAGTATGCTCACCTGAACTCCAGCATCTGTACTCTTCTACTTGCCTTCTTGCTCCCCACAGGGTGCTAAACATCACTATTCCATGAGCATTACAGCAACAATGATTATCAGTGATTATCATCTCACTAAACAACTCTTTTCAGTGAACAGAAGATCCAGCTGTACATCACCCATGGTTGACCCACCCTACCCTGAAATTTCCCTGACACCAGCCAGAAATCACTTGGGTCATTGTGATCAATAGCATCATCTGTATTTTTGCTGATCCATGGCATAAATACAATGTGGCCATACCCTGTTCTGAAAGAGTAAGGGCTTTGTACCCTGGCCACACCTCAGAATGACAGGCTGTAGGAAGATGCTGTGTCTGCAGAAAAGTTTGCTCCAAACTTTTTTTCAAGCTCATGTAACTTGAGCCTGGAAAACGTTCTCTTTTTACAGCAACAGAGCCAAGAAATGCTGGTCTAATGACATCTTAGGCAGTTAAAAAATAGTAACTTTCCAACTATGCTTAAACTCATTGGCTTATCACAGATGAAAAGACACACGAAAAGGAATGGATGGCCTATCCTTTAGCAAAAAAACAGCCTTTGGACATTTTTGCTTCAATACTCCAGGGTTTCCTAAAGATTACTGTGAGGTTCAGAGGTGATACCACTGCATAGGTGTGGGTGGGCAAGGAGGTGGGATGCATACGTCCATGGGAGGAGACAGATAAATGCAGCTGGGCAAAGGGACTGGCCGCATATTTTGTCCTGCCTGATGAAGTTCCTCCAGTCACAGCAGCAGATTACAGAGCTCAGAAAGGAAAAGTTGTGTCCATGTAGAGTTTTATGGTGTCACATGCTTCCCCAAACACTAGAAACACACACTGGCAAATTCCCATTTGAGATTCCCAGCTGTGGCCTGGAGGTAGGCTGGCATGGCTCTACACTGTCATTGATCGCAGAGCACTAGCTGCAGTCTTGCTCAGCTCCCTCCTGGTCTGCATTCCTCACCACATTAACACAGTACATGCAAGAAGCACTGCCTTCAAGGTCTAGGAAAAGGTTCCTCTGAAAAAGTTCAGTTCAAAAAACCCCATCATCTGACCTTCAAAATTCCCAGAGTAAAATATATACAAGAACACTTCACATCTACAAAGCGAACAGGAACAGTTTTTTAAAACTCTTTATGGTTCAACTACACACTTTTACAGAGGCATATACACACCTACCCCCGTTGCTGTATTGCATAATTGCCTCTCTCCTTATTCACTAACACAGAAGCCTAAGACCAATCCTTCATCTACTTTACCACCATTTAATGCCTCAAACAGAAAGATTTTTAGCCTTTCCTGTTCTTCCTAAGTAAAATTAGAGGAAGCCTCCAAAGCCTCAGACTTTCCTGTCATTTTTCCAGAGTACTTGGTCGTGTTAAATAAGAAACAACTGTGACTCCTACTCTCCTGACATAAATTCTCAAGCCTCACTGCTGATACCTAGATCCTGCTTCCAGGTCTTTGAATGCCTTCAGAACAACTCCCTTTCTCAGTACATTATCACTCAAACCAAGCCACGATGAGCAAAGACCATAAATACATAAGAATTGCCAAGTCAAAGTGCAACTATGTCATATTCTTCACTGTTACCAGGCAGCAGCAGATGCTTAAGAGAAAGAAGCTACACTAAAATGGACTGACCCTTTCTCTGGTGCATCGTATTTTCTTCTTTCAGCAAATAGTAGTTCAGGGACTGAGCTGGAGGAAGCACTTAAATCAGTGTTTTGAACAGCTGACAGTGAACTGAAAGAAGGGTTAGCATTCATTGAAGGGGAACCTTGCAAACCTAGTGACAACTCTTTCCAGTCACCTACTTTTTCACTCCCAATGAAGAATCAAGACAATCATGCAAGGGAAAGCAACAGGACACTGCTTACTGAAGTACACCTGCCAGACTGGGAGGCAGATCCCTCAGTACCTAAGGGAAGTATGACCAAAGCAGCTGAGGAATATCTAGCACATGTTTTAGATTATTTGTTTAAACTCTGGGTTTTTTTGTATAGCCAGGCATCTTCATTAAACAAAAAGTGTGTGTCCCAGTCCCCTGAAAATGTCTTCTGTGAATTAGAGGGGAGAAGGAATACTGATTCTGTTGTATTCCGTTATCCATCTGTCCTGGTTTTTGGCTGAGGCAGTTAGTTTTCCTTCCAGTAGCTGATACAGTGCTGTGTTTTGGATTTAGTATGAGAATGTTGGTAATTGGTTTTAGTTGTTGCTATGTAGTGCTTATACTCAGTCAAGACCTTTTCAGCTTCCCATGCTCTGCCAGTGGGTAGACGCACAAGAAGCTGGGAGGTGGCACAGCCAGGATGGCTGACCCAAGCTGGCCAAAGGGGTATTCCCCACCATCTAGCATCACACTCTGTATGTAAAACTGGAGTTGGCTGGGCGTTGGGAATTGCTGCTTGGGGATGGGCTATTGATCACCAGGTGGCAAGTGTTGCATTGTGCATCACTTGTTTTTGTATATTCCTTTATCAGTAACATTAATAGCTTTATTATTACTTCCTTTCTTTGCTGCCCTATTAAACTGTTTTTATCTCAACCCATGAGTTTTTATCTCTGATTCTCTCCCCCATTCTACCTGGGGGGTGAGCGAGTGGCTGTGTAGTGCTTAGTTGCCTGCTGGGGCTAAACCATGACACCAGTCATGACACAACTTCCTAAAGACTGCAAAGGGTAAAGGGAAAAGTCTCATAAATGTGTAGAGGGGACATTTAAATAGCTGTTTCAGATAACTGAGTGAGAAAGAGTCATAACCATAATCCAAGGGCTCCTAATAAAAAGTAAGGCTTCTAGTGAAGAATCAGCAAAAGAGTTGTTTCAGGGATTTGGGTTGGACCTCCATGAACCTGATGTCGTCAAGTATGCTTAAATGTGTCTGGGGTGAATTTTGCGTAATGGTTCTTTCCTTTAGGACACTGACTAAACTAGAGATGAGAGTCAGTGACAAGAGAACCATACTGGAAAGAAAACTGAAAATTTGATCCCAATTAGAAGACATGGAAGATTTCTAGAGCACGTACAGATAGCTGAACTTCAGGGACACACTTTCAGGTATATGAAGACATGACTTATGTCTGTGTTCATCTTTCTTATCCACTCAAATTTCAATTGACACAGTGGTTTTCAGAAAAGAGCAACAAAGAACCTAAGAGAGGAGAGAGTTACCAGAGACCGGACTCTCTCAAAAGTTTTCTGAACAGGCTTCCTCCTTTTCAGACTGCTGCTGCTTCTGCTTCCACTAACAGAGATCCTTGTGGCCCACTTCTGTCTGCTCTCTGCCTTTCACATTCCAATTATATGGTAAACCCCAGTTGCTCTTGCGCTTCATGCTTGTGTACTCTTGGAAGTGGCTATTTGTCACAAAAAGCTTGTCAAGAAGTTGGGTAGACATCCAAACTATTTTAACATTGTTCTTTCCCTCTACACTATAGCCAGAAGTGAATCTCAAACATGCCTGTGAATTAGAGATGATGTAAAACATGTAAACAAACTCGTCTAAGAAAAATCCTGCCTAAAAAATCCCTCACCAATGTATTTTGAAATGTTGTTTTTTCTTTCATGCACTGTGGATCTGAAACTGGTGGGAGAACACAGTTCTAACAATTTCAGACTGGTTATTACCCGTACCTTATAACAGACTTCTCTCCTGCTACATATTAAAGAGCACAATGTCTTTGGTTTGGTTCAGTCGTCTCTGCTTGTCTCTCCATTGTTCTAAGTTAAAGCTGAGTAGAGCTACAGGTTTTTCATTTGGATACTCACATAGATTTCTATCTTATCTGTGCTATGAAGGATAACAGTTCATCAAATATATCTACATGTCAAATTTTTTACCTTTTGTAACACTTCTTGTAAAACTGAAGCTAGATCTTTGCAATAAAGCTGGTAACAGTCTTAATGAATTTGTTTGCCCATCTTGAATGGATTTCGTTTGTTGAAGCATCTACTCTAAAAAGTTATGAAAGCAGAGACATCTTGAAACACATACCTGTATTATGTGCCTATATGCATATACTGTTCCCAGTACTCATCAACCTCATGTGTCTACTTACTTTCAGGGTGTGCATGGTGTCAGTCCATTCCATGGAACCTATCTGAGGTATAGCAGTAAGGAGTATGCTAGTAGCCTTATTTGCATTCCCTTTCAGCGTCTTTAAAACTTTGTCCACTGAAACCTAGAAATACAATAAAACCGAGTAGTGTCTCTCAATTTTGATGGCACACATTTTAAATACTCAAATAAATTAATGTAATTAATACACCCCTAAGTGAAAAGGTGAAGCCTTAAAATGCTACTATCACTTTAGCCAGTAAAAACTTCTTTCCTCTGTGGGTGTATGTCTGATTGTATTTTACAGAAATAAGATAAATAAAGCAGATAAATAATTTTGCACAGAGCTGCAAAGAAAAAACACCAGACCAATTGCAGGTCATACACAGAGCTCATGAGATTCATACACACAGACCCCCTGGTTCAGACAAGAGGAGACAAAAGGTTTGCTAGTAGTGACGCAGGTTTATGAAAATGAATGGGGTAGCAACAATTTATTTTGTTCTTACTTTCACAATCGTTCATTCAGAATAACTCAGTGATACTGATGTCAGTAAGAACAGATTTAGTTCAGTATGTGACCTCTTATCAAAACCTACAGGTTCTCATCCAGATTCTTCAGGACAAGACCCAGAGGAAAAAAAGTTTCACTCACTGCTTCTTCATGTTCCTTCCAGCAGTCGTAATCTGTTGCCATGGCAATACTAGCATAACTCATTCCAGCTTCTTTTGCAAGAATCACTTCAGGCACTGTGGTCATGTTGATAACATCAGCTCCCCAACCGCGAAACATCAAGCTTTCTGCTCGAGAACTGAAACGCGGGCCCTCTATTGTGATCATTGTCCCCTTGGAATGACACTGGAGCCCAATCTTCTTGGCAGTCTCAATAAGAACCTGCAAAACATGCCAATATGAGGAAAAGAAAAAAACTCCCCTGGTGCAATGCTTTTGCATCCCATCAAAAAACCTACATACAAATGAAATTAGCTTTATACAAAGCAGTCATCTTCATATGGCTACAGCTGTCCAAAACCACAGATCAGTTTCAGTTTCCTCATGCAGCAAGAGAAATTATTAGTCCTACTGACAGGAATGATCTTGAACTCATGTGATTTTGTTAGTATCCGTTGGGTTACTGTTTTCAATGCAGACAAAGAAGACTGAAAAACAGAAAAATTTTGCATGATATTTAGGCTGTGCTTACACTGGGAACAGAATGGTGAAAACAATTTGCTGCAGACTAGATTACCGCTATGCGATAGTGAGAACAGTAATAGGAAATTACTATTCCTATAGTGTGAGAACAGTAATAGGAGATTTACTTTTTAATAAAAAAAGTATTTCTTTTTAATGGGAAAAAGTAAAACTTTTCGAGCATATACTTCAAAGAGTACCCTGGGACTCTGTAGAGAAATTATTACCACATTCTCCCATGCCAGTGACTGAGCTGTACACTTTACATATACTATGTACTTCACGTCAGTCTTTACAGTTCCAGCTAGGACCTTGTATATGGCAGAATTATCAGGACTTTCTCTCTTGGTAAATGGCCTAACACTAGTGGATATAGTAGGAACAGCAGTGTACCAGCATGTGTAAATAGGACTAGGACACCCGTAACTGTCATGAGTAGGAAGGGGAATGTAACTACGATGACATCTTTTTAAAATGACCATCAACAGAAAAGAAAAGCCTGAAAAGAAGTATAAAAGCAGCATGAAAAATTGTGGCAGGACAGGGGAGACCTTCATCACACAGCAGCAGCAAAAACCTAGTCTGACACCACTAGAAGCTGTCTTCTCAGCATCATGACCTTCACACAGGCCAGGTGCAGCAGCCTCCCTGGAAAATGCAATGAGAAGCCTGCACTCCAGCTGGCTGGTCGACCTGCCATACATGGCTGCAACAAGCAGCGATACCTCGAGTGTGCTGTATGACCTTGTGGGGTGTCTCCTCGCTGGCATGCGGATCAGTGGATTGTATGGAGCAGCACAACTACATGTAAAGCTAGAGTACCCACATCTCCCACTGCAGATGTGTGTAAACAAGTAAACCTGCACTCCCAGAAAAGGGTGGATGTACATGTAACCCACATGTGCTGGGGAGGGCATTTGTGCATGCAGCTGTGTGAATATGCATGAAAGCAGAGCTTCTGGGAATTAGCCACAGAAGGACACTTAGAAACTTGTAAGTGTTTATTAACATGCCACAAGTTAATCTAATAGTAATCAGACCTAATATTGTGGTTTATTGCCAATACTCATTCTGAATGTATGATTCACTGATTGACAATTAATTACACACTGTTAATAAATCAAGAGACAACTTCAATTGTGATTTGACTTAAGCTTTAAGTTGAGTGGTATTTCCCTGAAACTCTTTACAAAGTTCCAACTTTAGTCCCTATCAGTGAGCCCAAATTTCTGAAAGGAGTAATAACCAAAGCAGCCTACATTATTCAAATGTTTGCAGTTGGAGACAAGCTAAGGTCCTTTCAGATTCTCATTTAATTTACAGTGCATAAACCAAATAAAACAGTATTTTCATGTGTTTGCACAAATGCAATTTAATATAAAGTTTTCAGACTTTTTAGGCAAAATTCCTTAATTAGTCTATTACATTAATAGTTTTGGCTTTATTATTATTGCATTCATCTGTGAAATTCCCTTGAATTAGGATAAACTGGGCTGAAATGATCCAGCAGTTTTCAGGGATAGTTCCAGGAAAAAAGTTTAAACCACTTTTATCTGGTATTTTCAAATGAAGTGAAAGTATCCCTTTTCAGCCTTGCTAAGAGCTCAAAACCACATGTTCTTTAAAACATCTGTTAGGCTGATTAGAGCACACAGGCTAATGAGATAATAATCACATGTGAGACTGGGAAGTACCTAAATGTTTTTTCTTTTTGAAAAGGAGCATTTCTCTGTTGGCTTTTCAAAAAAATGTATTACCCAGAGAACACTGTCTCTAGCTACTTAACGATCCAATGAAAACCAGCCTTGCTGTACGTTTCCTCCAACCTCAGGAAATGGCTTATGCATATCTACTTACCTTTTTTAAAAAATAAGAAAGAGACACAGTGTAAAGTACTGCCAATCACTTCAGTAATAACATTGGTTTTAATCCCTTTCAGAAAGCGTACTGTTAGCTCTCAATAAACTTTTTCTATTTGTTGTGACATGATATCATGCTCAAAGTCAGTGAGCAACTTACAACTCTCATCAAAGCAAGTTTAATCTTTGGTAAGAGCATGTGGCTAGGCTCTTGTTGCATGAAAAATGCAAATATTTTGCATAATCTGCTGCTCAATGGAAGAAGGGCAAAAGCATGCATGTGTGTAATATGCAGTGGTTTGTTTCCTCACGAGGTTTAAAAAGTTTTTACTTCATTGCAAAACACCCTGATTCTCAGTGCAGTGAAACACTGTAACAATGCTGTGGGCCTGCTAATGGCTATCTGGAAACCACACTGTGTCTGGCCAATTAACAAGAACAGTCTAGAATGACGCTGAAGTGAGCTGGTGACAAGAGCAGAATAGCTCAGCAGTACAAACATTTGTGCATGCTCTGGGTACAGATTGGGCCACCTGCTTCACAACTCAGCTTTGTCCTGCTCCCTGTAGTAACTGACTGGACAGAGAGCAAGTCTCTTAGATGGGTATGATTGATTCTGCAAGCGTTCCTGTGCCCCTGCAGAATATATCTCCTTGCAGCTTCTGATCAGAGCATTACACAACAGCACAAAATACGCAGTTCAATCTTCGCCTTATCATTTCCTCAGGTCTAAGAATATGCTAAGGTGGCATACTTAATCACAGATACACTCCTCCCAGAAGCTTATAAAGGTGCTGAAAAACAGAGCAGTGTTTCATGCTGGGTAGTCTAAGTATTTTTTAATCCTGAAAATCTTGACGTGACAAAACTAAGAGCAACAGTTAGGAATAAAAGGCTACTGTAATTCGGCTTGTTTCTATGTTTAACATCCTTTAAACTAAGTCTTGACCTTCCACCAGCACCCTCTGCTACAACGCACAAAAGCAATATTGTAATTTCTGTGAATGCTAAAGTACTATTTATTTAATTCTTTGTATTAAGTATGTAGAATGCCTCTCCCATAGGTGCAGTTTAATTCAGAATAAAAAGAAGCTAATTCCTCATTCTATCTTCCTGTTTTGTCCACTTTGTTGCTCTCTTGGCTTGTTACCTGATAAATAAAGATCTTTTGCCCTGTTATTAAGACACTGGGGGAATCTAGGTTGCCAGCTGACATCCTCTGCATACCTCTCTTAAGAAGACAGCTCCTATAGACACAAGATCTTTTACTTCCCATGCATCCCAAATGTTACATTTTTCCTTAAAACCATGGCATATGTGAGGAACAGGAATAATGAGGTGCAGATTGCCTCTGTATTCTAAGAAAGCATAATTAGACAACTATATAATGATTAAGTGCCACAAAAATAACATTTATAAATACTATTACAGAATTCACTAACCTCTCTGGTTTTGGTGCAGAATGGCTCTGCCATTGGAATATGACATACTCCTGAAAGAGTGGAATGCTGCCCATCGTATAAAGTACAATGTCTTTTAGTTGTCCTAGAAAAGCAGAAAATGTGCTTAGAGAGAAGAACAGGGAGAAAACATAAGAGAAAGCAAGAAATTTACACAAATCCAAAACCACAGCATTCTTGTGAAGGAACAAAAATATCAGTATGATATTAATGACCACCTGTAATCCTGTTTTGCCTCTGTACAAACCTTTCGGAATCAAGCTCAACAGCATAAACTGTTACTACAGTAGTGCACTGTCAATTAGTTAGAGAAAATCTATTGTTAACAAGATGCTGAAATGCTGATTTGTTCCTAAATGACATTAACAGCCACATTATGCTGTGATTCTACCCAAAAGAATTCAGCTAAATTTAATAGGCAGCTAAGTAACCTCTGAAAAGAAGAGTACAGTAAGCTTTCAGGAAGGGAAGGAATCAAGTCTGAATTACCACAAAGCTAGTCAAAATAGAGCTTGTTCATATCATTGCATTCCTACATGGAAAGAATAGGACTTCATAGGAACAGCTCCCTGAACAAGACAGGTGTGAATTCAACCAGAAAAACCCTGGAACAAGATGTCTTCATATTCTCAGAAAGACTAAACACATGCGTTGGCAGCTTGCAGGTAGAAGAATCCTTTTTCTCCCTTCTTTAAATTGACAAACTGTTTGCTTGCATGGAAATGGTGAAACATGCTGCAGAAATTACCATCCAGCATGTCATTTTGACAACTACTGGAACTGTTACCTGCTATCACTTTACCTTCAAATGCACTGCCTCCAGTTAATTCAGCCAACTGGATGGCGAAAACCCTCTGGAACAAAATTCTTTGAGACACTCCCTTCTTCCCCACAGTGTGTCACATATCGTACTTTGTAGAAGAAAAGGAAGGCAACAGCCAAATTCAATCCACAGTTAAAATAAAAAAATTCTGCTGGTAATAGTGCTCACAACAGTTCCCCATCCAAGTCACCAGCAAGTATTTAAAAGAAGGTTTTAAACACAAGTGACATGTTAGAGTAGTTTGAAGAAAAAAAAAAAGCAAAACAAAAAATGACCAATAGGGTAGTCTTAAGGATAAGGTTATAAAATAGGAAAAAGAGATCAGCAAATTAAAAACATATGTGAAATGGGATACAGCTGTTAAAATCAGTTAAAACACTAATATTAATTTTTCCCTTATGTGATACTGAAGAGCTGCAAACAGAATGTGTCTGATTTTACACACTTTTTTTCAGTGTCTGCTAATGAATCATTTAGAATTGGAGGAAATGGAAAAAGTCATAATTCATTTCCTGCATTATAGTATTTCAGATGCTGCTAGTCAGGCCCTTTCACTCAGAAAAGCCCTGAGGAAAGATCACATATGCACAAATATTAATCTTTGACTTTCAGATACCATGTTCTATGGCCAGAGTGGCCACATCACCAATGGGTCTAATAAAGAAATCCAACTATGTTTAGCACCCTACATACAAATTGCAGGGGAAAAAGTAACAACAGTAAGACCTATGACTACTCTGAGCAACGGACCATGTGTTTGCACTCAGAGTGCCACAACTTCTCTTCTGCATGGAAGGCTGCAACCCTGCGAAGGCCACAGCTATTCAATATGGGGCCAGCTGATGTCACAGAATCACAGAATCGTAGGTGTTGGAAGGGACCTCTGAAGATCATCTGGTCCAATCCCCCTGCCAAGGCAGGATCACCCAGTGCAGGTTGCACCGGAACGCGTCCAGTTGGGTTTTGAAGGTCTCCAGAGAAGGAGACTCCACAACCTCTCTGGGCAGCCTGTTCCAGTGCTCTGTCACCCTCGCAGTAAAGAAGTTTTTCCTCATGCTGAGGTGGAATTTCCTGTGCTGCAGTTTGTGCCCGTTGCCCCTCATCCTATCACTGGGCACTACTGAAAAGAGGCTGGCTCCGTCCTCCTGACAGCCACTCTTCAGATATTTGTAGACAAGGTCGCTTCTCAGCCTTCTCTTCTCCAGACTAAACAGCCCCAGGTCTCCGAGCTTTTCCTCATACGAGAGAGGTTCCAGTCCCTTAATCATCTTCGTAGCCCTCCGTTGGACTCTCTCCAAAAGTTCCCAGTCTCCCTGATGTGTCTGTAAGTTGCTAGGCTTAGGGTGAAAATAAAGGCAGATTTGAACCAATCTCTTACTCTTCATATCTATGAAGTAATGGCTGTCACAGACGAATGCCTTTTAGCCTCTCTTCCTTTCCTGTAGCCCTGCTACTTAAGTCCAGAGTTGGCCATCCTGATCTGTCCCACTCACCCACCTGCAAGGTACAGGGCATATAATTTTCACCACTTCAATACCATATTTTCACTGCTTCAATACCATTTCTTTGTATTCCTTGTAGAGAGAATGAAGGTTACAGAATCACAGATGCTCTCCTTGCCTTACTCTCACAAAGACCAAGAGCCAGAAAGCAAAGGGCAGAATCTGCCTAAGGCTTCTCTCATTACAGGAGTTTCAAGACCTTCCCCATGTACCCTGAGTGACTCCTTATGGAGCCAGCAGGAAACAAGAAATAAGGAACTGAACAGCCACTCTTCAAAGACAATACGCTCCTTAGATCTCACAGTTTTAAATGTGGAAAAGTCTGCATGTTCTTCATCAGGAGAGCCTGCTTAACAACAGAGCATGAATGTCATACAACGGCCTGATTGCTTGCATTAAAATAGGAGGAAGTCACCCAGTGCCTGCCTAGAAACTATCCGCACTACTCGTAGTAGAAGCACACAATCCAGAAGGATCAAGCATAACACAAAGGGAAAGTACAGAGATGCTCCCAGTGGGGGAGATCAGAAGCAGCACCTCAAAGCATTGGACTGATAACTACAGGCAAGCAGCTAAGAGCTGGGGCTGCATAGCTCCTGCTGGCCATCTGATCTGTGTAGGGCTCTATGGAGAACCCCCACCAGACCCTAATGCTGTTTCTGTGCCAACAGTGGATGGTGGTACAGGAAAAGGGAATTCTTTCCCTGGGAAAGGGGCTTGTATGATTTTGTGCAAACCACTTGTGTACTAAGCTCAAGGAGACAGCAGTACTCATAGTGCACGCAAACCCTTGCACTGTTGCATCACCTTGCCATGGCTGCCTTGCCCTTACTGCTTTTTCAAATTCAAAGCTGTACGTACTGTAATTTTGAAGGTATCCCCAGAGTTTGTATTCCCCACCCTGCAGCAACAGCCACACTTTTAATCAGAAAGTAAAGTGGCTTTTGCCCTTCATTTTGATTTTATCACAGTAACACAAGATTTTCTGGCAATGCTGACTATGACTGATGCTAGGAAGCAAAACGCAACTCAAATAAGTGAACAAACCAATAATTTCCAACTGTGACAAACAGTACTCTACCACTGGCATCATCACCTTCCCCTTTCTTCCAGCAGCGTTGAATTATCAACAAGCTATTAGTAATTGAAGAACAAAATGAAAATTCACACTGGCATCTGCTGTATAAAAGCAGTCTCAGCATGCTCTGCCTCTTCAGAGACAGTGAAAAAAAATTTCTCCCATGAAAAATTTTAGAGTGTAACAATACTGTAATAACTGTAGTGGTATATGTGACACAAAGAATTCAAACAATAAAGTTGGCAGCTGTTACAGGAGTTCTTTTACAAAGCTATTTTCTGCATCTTCCTGACTGGGCTGAGTCATCTAAGTAAGTAGTTACCTTCTTACTCTTCTTTTCCTAGCAAACATCAGCAGCAAACCAAAGTATTAAAAAGCCCCTAATCAGTCTGGTCTAGCCAGTTGACTAACAGCACTATAATAAAGTAACAGGAGCCAAAGGCATAAAAAAAAACCTCTTCCAGATTTTTTTTAGGCACTTGTTTCAAAGAAGAGAACAATTGTTCTAGCCCATAAAAGTAACCTGTTGTTACTTTTGGATTTGGAGGTAGGGAGAACACCATGTAAATACTTATTGAACAAAATGTATCTTTTATTGTTTAAACACACACACTAACAGATAAGTGTGAAGAGAGCAGAGACTCACATGTGAAATCAAACACCAGGAGTGCTAATGATCTGCAGAATTAAGCTCTCCAAAGTGTTTCTCAAAAATACACCTATTCAGTGTTCCTCACTGTAAGTCAAACCTATGCCCTAAACTAGGCAGTCGTACACAACTCCATATATTGAGATCCTGTCATTAATGCCACAGTGTGCATGCCCAAGGGGAGCAAACTACAACTGCTGCCTACAGCTTTCTGGTCAATTCTAGCTCTTCTCCCATTCCCATTCATTATTCCTTCTTCTTGTTTCATACCTGGAAAGAGAATAATGTGCTCCCTGTTAAGAAATAGAGCCCAGATACCAAAAGGTACCTGGACATCTAGAAGGCCCTGGTTTTAATGGCAGCTTGAGTAAATCCTTCCCCCCTAGACCCAAGCCTGTTTCCTATCTAGTGCCTGGCATGGGTTAATCACTATATAGAAGCCAGAGTACCGTTCAAGAAAAACAACTAACTGCTTTTGCAGGTTTAACCAGTACCTTCTTTCCAAGACTGCTCACACAGTTTGTTTGCAGGACCCTGTCCTTTCTTGAGAAGGTATTTCAGAAAAACTGCATCTTTTCAGACTTTGGTGGACAATTAATTTATTTTGTCCCATGAAAGTATCTTCCCGTCAGCAGCATTGTTTTCATAATGATTTATGATACATAATGCAATCACTCTTTACAGATGATACTCCTCTGTGAAGGGCAAAAATGCAGACCCTACCAGCAGTCTAACACGCAAGATCATCAGGGGAAAAGACTTATCACAGAAATTAAATTGTCAAATGAAACAGACTATTATGACTTGTCAGTTTTCTGAATTAAAGGGCAACCTAGTAGTGATTTTTAAATTCATATTACGTATTGTTTTCCACACTGAAACATTCTCACATGCTTTTCTAAGAAGCTTCTTTGTGGCCTGAAGCCATGAAACAAGTCCCCACAAGTTCCCACTCTTCTACATTGAAATGAAAACTTTCTTGCCGGAATAAAACACTGCTCATCTATGAGCTACACCATTACTGCTGGTGACAATCTGAACAAACTCTAAATGAAGACATAGATCACAGAATCACAGAATGGTTGAGATTAGATCCTGGCTGCCCAGGACCATGTTCAGGAGGCTTTTGAATATCTCCATGGATGGAGACTCCACCACCTCTCTTGGGCAATCTGTGCCAGTGCTCAGTCACCCTCGAAGTAAAAAAGTTGTTTCATTTTGTGCCCACTGCCTCTTGCCCTGTCACTGGGCACCACTGAAAAGAGCCTGGCTCTGTATTCTTTGCACCTCCCTTCAGGTATTTATATACATTGATGAGATCCCCCTTGAGTCTTCTCTTCTCCAGGCTCAACAGTCCCAGCTCTCTCAGCCTTTCCTCATAAGAGAAATGCTCCACTCCCTTCTGCATCTTTATGGGACTTTGCTGGACTCTGTCCAGTATGTCCATGTCCCTCTTGCACTGAGGAGCCCAGCACTGGATGCAGTATTCCAGGTGTGGCCTCACCAGTGCTGCTAGAGGGGAAGAAGGATCACCTCCCTAGACCTGCTGGCAATACCCCTAGTAATGCAGCCCAAGATACTATTTGCTGCCTTTGCTGCAATGTAAATGATCCCTGTCCTTTCACTTATCTTCACATCAGATAAATATACTGATTTGTTCTATAATCTTTTTTTTCCCCTTCTTGAAAGGGAATGGTCTTAAAACCTAAACTTAACCAAGCTGATTATTTCCTTTCCGGCTCAGAAGTTATAAAGCAGACTGGCAAGTGCTGGCAAACTTAAAGCTGTGGGAGATTAGGTAACTTCAAAATGAATTGTGAATTTTGATAACAACATTTTGGATGCAGAATGGTCTCAGATTTTGTATCTGTGTTCATTTCCTGGCTCTCTTAATGTCTTTCTGCCTGACCTCCTCAAGAGTTAGTTTCTCCATACTTCCATGTTATCCATGGCAGATAACAACTGCAATCATTCCAACTGTTTCTTCTTTAGAACTGCAGGCTCTCTGGGCTACTTCTTCTCACGCGTGCCAATCACAGCTCAGCACAGTTAAGCTCTCCTCACCTGCCTATGAGTCTGCTAGATGATAATGCTGTCAAAATAACTGGTGCTTTACCTACAATCATGCAAACCGTCTACCCAAGTATGTTTAATATCTCTCCTACATTAATCAATATCAATACTAAAATTACTAATTTCCAAGTACTACTGGCAGAATGATTATGATTTAATCTGCATAAACAAAATAATCAGCCTAAATACTTTTAGACTTGAAAAAAGGAGAAAAAGAGGCCATTGTCAGCAATATAGCTGCTCTCCACCCATAAATCAAATCTAGTATAACAGGAAGCAGTGTCTATGGGGCTTGTTCCTGCAGGGTACTTAGTCATTTAGATACACTGTACTTAAAACGTACTCTCTTACAAGAAAAAGAGTTTCAGTTACTGACTCCTTTTGTGTGTTTAAGTCAAAACTTGAGTAGCACTGCAGAGAGCAAATCTGGGTATACAATGTTCAGTTGGCAATGAAATATTGCCAGCAGTCCCACAAAAGCACAAAGAAGCTGCATAACCATTCCAAACACTTGAAATTGTGTGGCACACTCAAAGATGACTCCAGATGTAGTACGCCTACAAGTACTAATAAGAAGTTTACCTCTTAAAACGTGCAACTATGTTTTTGAAATATTTGGTGTCGTTGTTGATCTTTAAATGTAGCTTCCCCCACACCCACTATGTTTACTTAAATTTTTCTAAACATCATATAATCAAGGAGGGGAGGACTGACTGAAGTACATAGACTTTGGAAAAAATTTACTTCCTTACTATTCTTAGCAAATAAAGAATTTTAGCATCTAGTCTTGTTTTAAAACAACCTCCTCTCTTTTCCCGCTGTGTTGCATTTGGTCTCTTTTCTGTAGAGCCTCAGTACTACTGCATATAGTTTCCTACTTGGATCCTACTATGCTGTCCTGATTTTGGCTGGGATACAGTCAATTTTCTGCATAGTAGCTGGTATAGTACTGTGTTTTGGATTTAGCATGAGAATAATGTTGATAACACACTGATGTTTTAGTTGTTGGTAAGTAGTGCTTACACTTTTCGGCTCCTCATACCCTGCCAGCAAGAAGCTGGGAGGGGGCACAGCCAGGACAGCTGACCCAAACTGGCCCAAGGGCTATTCCATACCATATGACATCATGCCTGATCAGTATATAAACTGAGGGAGTTGGCTGGGCATCACTCAGGGGGTGGTGAGCAATTGTATTATGCATCACTTATTTTGTATATTCTTTTAGAATTACTACTGTTTTCTCTTCTACTGCTGTCCTATTAAACTGCTTTTATCTCAACCCATGAGTTTTACCTTTTTTTTTCTCAATTCTCCCCCGCATCCTACTGGGGGTGGGGAGCGAGTGAGCATCTGCGTGGTGCTTAGCTGTTGGCTGGGTTTAAATGATGACATATGCTTCCTTGCACCTCTTCATGTCATTTCAGATTCTTCTTAAAACTTAGAATTGGCCTGTGCTCTTATCCATGCTCCTCCCCCACATCTAAGAATAGGAGATCTCTTCAGAAGACTCTTCCTGAGGAGCTATACTTTAGTTCCTTCAAGGCCATTCTTCAAAGCCTAGTATGTCTTCTATGTTAGAGCAGAACTTCTTTTAATCTCATTCCTGTTTTAGCATGAGAATAATGTTGATAACACACTGATGTTTTAGTTGTTGGTAAGTAGTGCTTACACTTTTCGGCTCCTCATACCCTGCCAGCAAGAAGCTGGGAGGGGGCACAGCCAGGACAGCTGACCCAAACTGGCCCAAGGGCTATTCCATACCATATGACATCATGCCTGATCAGTATATAAACTGAGGGAGTTGGCTGGGCATCACTCAGGGGGTGGTGAGCAATTGTATTATGCATCACTTATTTTGTATATTCTTTTAGAATTACTACTGTTTTCTCTTCTACTGCTGTCCTATTAAACTGCTTTTATCTCAACCCATGAGTTTTACCTTTTTTTTTCTCAATTCTCCCCCGCATCCTACTGGGGGTGGGGAGCGAGTGAGCATCTGCGTGGTGCTTAGCTGTTGGCTGGGTTTAAATGATGACATATGCTTCCTTGCACCTCTTCATGTCATTTCAGATTCTTCTTAAAACTTAGAATTGGCCTGTGCTCTTATCCATGCTCCTCCCCCACATCTAAGAATAGGAGATCTCTTCAGAAGACTCTTCCTGAGGAGCTATACTTTAGTTCCTTCAAGGCCATTCTTCAAAGCCTAGTATGTCTTCTATGTTAGAGCAGAACTTCTTTTAATCTCATTCCTGTTTCCTATCATGTATTCTTTTATGAATCTCACACTTTTGCCGTAAGAACTGAGGCTACCACTTTATTCCACAAAAACTTAACATTAACATGTTATTATATGGTTTAGCCCCACTTGTCCCCTTTTTCCTCCCCCAAAATGAAGAACACAATTAAAACCAAATGTTACTCACCTGTCAATGAACTGGTCAATTATGACAAGATCACCAGGTTGTATTTCCTCCCGCAATGAACCACAGGCAGTAGTCACTAATACGTGCGAACAATTTTCTTCTTTTAATGCCCAGATATTGGCACGGTAATTGACGTTTGATGGCATAATGGTATGATGTCTTCCATGTCTGCAAAGACGCATGTTGCAAGAGAGTACCATAAATGAGACTGAAATTGCCTTCTTGCTCCCAGGTAAAGAGAATCCAGGAAATCTAATTTCCCTAACAACATTGGGAGTGGAACTGATCATTTCAGCTACTTCCATTGTAGCTTCTTTTCCTAACTGTATCAAGGTTTTCTCAGTATTTCATTTAAGAAGTATTGGTATAGTTTTCTTTTTAAATGAAAAATTTTTAAGTTTGAGACTGTAATGAAAAGAATCTTGAAAATACAATCCAAATATACTTTAGCAGCTTCAAGAGTACAAAAAGCATTTTTCTCTGAATTTTCTAAGTCAGTTCCATAGATTCTGAAAACCCAGGTGTAGCAAATATTATCTTCCATACACTACAACAAATTTGTAAGATTTTTTATATACCTCTACAAATTTTCTGCTCAGAAGCACTGTTTGTATTCTCCCACCCAGATAAGTGCGGTATATCACAGGAAATTAGAAACAAAAAACTCACACTGTTTTTAATCTGTCACCTTCCCAAAGAAAACAGCAGAATCATCACATTTTTGTTTTTGCTCTTAAAATGATCTGGCGGCTTTCATAAATTAGAATAATGACTTCACACTGTTGCAGTATATTTTTTCACCAAGACAGGAAATACTTAGTCTTATAAGCACAAGCTTTTGTGTTATCTCTGTCATTGCTATAGAAGTACATCACTCTCATAATGATTACACACATTTGACAATTATTTTCAACCATCTAAGATGAAAGGAGGAACTTAACTTCCCAAGTGATTCTTTCAGAGAGACCAAAAATTCTTAAGAGTTTGATCATTGGGAATTGGAAGTTGCACACAACATGACCGAGCACTGTCAGGCAGGATTCCCATGTTGTCGTTAGCATTTCTGATATACTACTAGGCATGTAAATTTATTGTTTAATATTGCAGTTTTGTCATAATCCTCTTCTAGAATATACATGCCTTTTTTTTTTTTTTTTTTAAAATCTGGCATTCATGAGCAACTCTTACTTTTCCCAAAACACAAAGTGAAGTTCCAGGTACCTTAGCCCCAAAAGTAAACTCATGAGGGTCATATGTGAATGGTCATAAATCCCAGTGAGGATGTAAATCACAGCTGAGTTGTTCAGCTGTCTGTAGCCCAAGGCCTACTTTGACACAGAACTGCTATGAGATCTTGGCTTGGCACTTCATTTGAGAAAATGAGAAAAATGTTGCCCAGGTGTAATAAAATACATGAGCAAAGTCCATGCAAGATAAGAAAAGCAGAATCACAGACAGAAGTGTAGTTGCAGAGATGGTAACCGTCAGCAGCTTAATGGAAAAATACTGGCATGAAAAGAATTGGGGCCATGACTGCACCGCTGGTAACAGTGCACTTGTAATTGCCCTGGCCAGCCTCGCCCTGGGCCTCCACCCAAACACCAGGTGCCAGTGAGCCTAGGTGTTCCCGCCTCCAAGCTCAGGCCCCAGCCTTCACTCCTGGCCTGAGCTATGTCACAGGTGTGCCTGTCCCCAGCCTGCCTCCTGGGTGGCCTTCAAAGCTATGCTGTAGTTTGTTTCCAGACCTGTTTTCTGGATGGACTTTGGACACATGCTGCAGCCTTGTCTCCAACCCTGTCTCTGGCCCCATCTCCTATTGCTCCTGCCTAGACTCCCTGGATGGATCCTGGCCTTGATTCATCACCTCCACTTGTCTGGGGCTGCTGATGGACCCTGTTGTCAGCACCTGGCTCTGCCCATGCTGTCCAGATGCTGAGAACTGTGTTCGTATTTTTAGGTTTAATCTAGTAGCATATTGGTCCTAGATATCCACAATTACAGTAGTGTGAAATTTGCATGCACTCATCTACAGATCCTGCTTCCAGATCCAGCTCTTCTGAGTATGCTAAGAGATGCCTAAATAAAAATGACCCAGGGAGGGAGAACTACAGGAGATGCAGCCTCCTAAGCAATAAAGGTAACAGCCAGAAGACTCACTAATGAAAGGGAGTGATTGGAAGAGTCTACAGTGGTACCAGAGATACAGTTCATCTGGAACTGTATTCCAGTTTCACAAAGGAAATTTGGAAACACAGGGAGCAGACGGATTACTGAGGTTATCAGGCACTACCTACCTAGCACCAGAGCAGGCAGTCTTGCAGGCTGCCGCTCTTACTCAGGCAGCACCTGGCACTGGATTTCTCTTTCCTAACCTAGATGGTATTTCTAATACTCTCAGTCCTTGCTTCAAGAAAAAACCCTTCTGCTGGACTTTGCTAGCAAGCACACAGAGCAAGATGAAGTCTGAGTAAAAATTCAGTTCACCTAATGTAAAAAGAAAAAATGTTGGAGAAAACTTTAAGATGTAGAATACAAAACCCTTTAAAAATGCTCACTTACCTTGCCAACAGCACACAGTCCACATTTTTTATCTTTCCCAATATCAAAGCATCTGATGGCTGCAAAACAAGCAAAAAAGAACAAGTTAGTGCCTGACAACCACGTTAGAAACCTTAACTGCTACTTAAAAATAAGCAGGATAGTTATGAAAGGAAAAACTGATTACCACTGTAGTCTCACATTTTCTTCAGCTCAGCTCTGTAATTTGATATGGATCATTAGTAAAACAGTCTGGAACAGGAAGATCAAACTTGACATCAGAAGGATTATCGCAATTTTTTTGTGTTCATACTAAAAGTAATATCGCAATTCCTTACTTTAGGGCTTGAAATAGTAATACTTTCAAATGCTCTGAGACAGCATTTCAAACAGTGCTACACAAACATGAAAAAAGCAGCATGTACATGTTGCCTTTAAATTGGTTAGCATGTCTCATTCTCTCCTGTAAACTTCAGCCGCTTTCTGTCAAACAGGTGCCATTCCCTACTAAAAGTCCCTCCCAACAGAAATCACATTAATTCTGTCCATTTCCATAACACTCCCCATTCTCTTCACTCTCCTCTTTCTACTAGCGCCCCTTAGCTCCCACTAGGGGTGTGAGGAGTTCTAGATTCCTCCAATCCACCCTTTGCTCTCCCCCAGCTTCCTGATAAACTCCCTCTTTCCTGCTGCTGGGAGTCCTGCTTTTGGGAAGCAAACTGTGATATGGCAGAGAACTTACGGTACACCAGTGGCAGAAGCAGTGCTGTATTTGGTCAGCCTTGGGACCAGGCGACAGCATGCGCTCTCCTTGCACAGCTATACAACGAGAATGTGCACTTCTAACCAACCAACCAACCAGCCAGGAAGCTAGAGCATTTTGTTTTTAGCTGCCCAGCTGGGACACGTGCCCTGCCTTGGCGACGGTCATATTGCCCACGTGGGGCAGACCCCAAGTTATCAACTTGTATCAACTACAAATTAACCGCTCTGTGGGTTGGTTTCTGCTCCTGGGCTATATGCATCAGGGATCTGAAATACACAATGCTTCTAGCCTTCCATTTTTAAAAAAAATGTAGAGGCCTTTGTTCAATTAATGCTAAACTGCATTTGTGCTGAACCACAGTACAGCTGGGTGTGCCGCTTCTCCTGCCCAATTCAGAACTGCATGCATGTCACTCCTTTTATTGCGGTGTAGAAGAAACTGTAAACAAGCTGAAAGCTGCCCTGTGCCAATCTCTCCTTCCATGCCCAGGGATTTAAAGCTGAAATAGCTACTAAAAAAGTTGTGATTTATTTACTCATCACAAGTTTGCAAGTGTCTGGAAGGACTGACACATACGTATTTTGAAATGTTCTGTTGCCTGCTATTTGATATAATTTTATTTGTATTTTAATGCTAGCTACAGGATTTCAATTAGCATTTAGTTTTACAACTGCTAATTCTACTATACACTCAAAATTTGCAGATGTCCAGAACAAAGTAATATGCAAGTCCACATAGAAATTAGTATCTCTAAAATGCAGGTAATAAACCCACCACTTTCTACTCCTATTGCACAGCTCTTTTTGGTCATTTTGAATGTGAAATCTCTTCAAAGCACCATCATTTACTCAATCATCTAGATTTAAATTCTGCCAAACACAGATTTACCACTTTTTTTATATAAAGGGAATGTTCCAGAAAATTTATTTTTAGAACTGTTGTGTATTCTGACTTCTTTTTAAAAATCTCCATTTAATATTAACCTATTGACATTTAAACGTTTAATTTATTTACCTTACTTTACGTATACTCTTCTGAACCAGACACAGCTTTCAGAGTGAAATTTCACACAGGATGAAAGCCTTGCTGTCTAGTTGCCAAGGCATTTTGATGTTGCAACATTCTATACCAATGAAGGTTCACAGTAATTAGCATTTGGGGTTTTGTTTTGTGGGTTTGTTTTGTTTAGAGGGCACACATTTGCTGTGTGAAGTAATAAGCATGCAACTTAGCTCACAGCAGGATACAAAAATACTCTTAAAAAATAATGAGAACTTCATCCAAAATTCTTTGCCTCCTATCAAAATGAGAAATAAAGATCAGTAAATTGAAGACTGGACCCTTTGCTTTACAGGTGACAGACTCAAGTTTATTCATTCAGGACATCTTCCAGGTGACTGCCTGAATACCTTTCTTGCACACAACTGCTAGAAACATGGCAGAGAAAAATAAAGATTTGGAACAAAGAACGCGCTGCTGAACAATGAACTGACAGTTTAAGAATTTGCAGATGCAGCACCCTGGGTCATTAAGAGAGGAAATAGGGATAAATCAGTGTGTGTAAAGTTACAAGGAAGTGAAAGATACAGAAATTTCAAACTATGTGTTAACCACGTAACAGAGCCAGTGTAAGTATCTGTTCCGCTCTCTCTTCTCCCACAAGTTCTTTCCAGTGCTATACCTCTCTAGCCTTAGACCTCAGTTGTAGTCTGGAGTTTTGAAATGCTGATAAAATAATAAAAACTTCCAATGGAACAACCTGAATGTAAAGCTCTAATACAGCATTTTGTAAGGCAGGATTTAATAAAAGGCCCAATAAAAAGATCTCAAACATTAATAATTCATGCATGTATTTAACTACTTCCCCCTTCCACAAAATCCAAGTCAGAAATATATTACTCAGTGTTGCAAAACATAAAAGGAAGCAAAGAACCCTGGGCAGTTAACCCTAAATTATGACAGTAACAAATAACTGAAATAAATCCCCTTTTTCTGCAACATAAATATGCAAAAAGTGTTGTTCAACTGGTGCTTATAGAATTCATTTTTTCCTTGGTCTCACCTCAGAAGCAAGCTGGAACAGAAAACAGAATGAACAAGCAAAATAAAAATCTAAGGAAAACTTGAGATGGAAAGTTATCTCAAAGGTTCCCCAGGCCTTCACTTAACATGTCACCTAGTTTATGTACATTTGGGGAGGCAGAAAAGGAGCTTAAGTGTCACGTCACACAGTCTGATTTTCCTGATGCAAACATACAAAGCTCATTTGCAAGGTGGAAACCACCTCGGTTTGTTTGCCAGATACACCTATGACGAAAAAAAGAGGGAGGCACCTAAAATAATTTTATAGAACAGGAAGGTATTTTGCCAATTTGAGGAAAGGTGATCCAGAACCAGGTTCTGTCATCCAGAAAGTAAAACAATCTAACTGAAAGTATATTCTGAACAAAGTTTTATTAGTAACTTCAAAACTCAATGATGAAGATAAATACTGTTACAAGCAATTTTCTTACCTTATAAGAGAACAGTATTGTCCATATCTGGAGATGGAATGCCAAAAGGTTTTAGGGTATTTTCTACAGAATACCAAATTTTTGATGCAATGAAAATGATGGAAGTAGACAAGGGAGAAAAGAAGACTGGAATATTAACAGCTGTAAGTGTATTTATTTAAAAAAAAAAAAAGTACTACATTTTCACTAGTATTACTAATCTAACTTGAAAGATCATGGGACTCCCAATGCCAATATAGGGAGCTGCAAAAAGTCTCATACTAGTTCCCTTTAAGCTTTTCCATAGTTGACCTGAAAACAATATCCCCACATTCCCTAATGATGTAAGGTTGTTATTAAATGATTCTTACGATCAGAGAAGGCCAAAGCAGAAGATATTTCAAGGACTCTATATGAAAAAAAAAAAAAAGTATGCTATTGTTCTGCTCCTAAAAGCAAAGAAACTGCATTAATGAAATGTCTGTTTTGCTGTTGTCAAATGTCAAAGGTGCCAAGGAATGTCACCACCAGAAAGGTTTTCAGCTAAAAGTCTTTTGGCTACGTACTTGCCACGAAAATGAAGAATTAAAAAACAAAATTTAAGGAAAGTAGAATTGAACTTTGCATTTTTACAGGATAGTTAAAAAAAATGTATGTCCATTTCATTCTATGCCTTGCATTTCCCTTTTGGCATTCAGATATTCATTTTCATTCTTCCTAGTTTTGCTTGAACTAAATAGACTCTCTCATCCTTTGTCTTGCCTTTTCCTACTATAAATACTTTGGTGCAGAAATTGTCCTTCACAACACACTCAGCACTGTGGATTTAGCAACACCCCTAGCCTCCACTCCCTTTTGCTGAGGAAAAGTGATGAAGCAATGTGAAGGAGAGTTGGTCAAGAACACCTGTGCCACAAATACAATTTCAGAGCTTATAAGCATGACTGTAAGGAAAGCATTGGCATGGAAAGCATAATTCTGTGGTTACAGTGAAAATGGGGGCCCATATGCCTGAAAAGACAGTTTTCTGCAATTCAGAAAGGTTCCTGGAGCAATCTGACATATACTGCAGGTCACACAACAGCACAGATTTGAAAGAGAGGGTTTATCCCTCTTGACTCCAAATTCAGGACAGAGTTTGTACATTCACCCAATCTACAAATGATAAGAAGTATAGTCTCCTTTGCACATAATCTTTGTAACACCTTGTTTCTACAAAGTAAGAATCACACAATACATAGCAACTAAAAGGAAAAAAAAAAAGTATCTCCTTTTATGCATTCATTTAACAATCTGAAAATTCTTAAAGCATACAAACATCTTTAAAAACATTAAAGAGTTTCAGTAATAACAACAAAAAAAAAAAAGGTTATACAGACCTTGCCGTAAGGAGTATCAACATATTTTTCTGTTCTTCCTTCTAAGATATCCGGATCATCCAGGCCAGTTCCACCAATAATTCCGATCTTACACAGAAAAGTACTTATTAGTCTTCTTGAGATTACACTCCATTTAACAGCATGCCTGAAAAACTAACTAGGCAGCTACAGAATGTATTTTCTGCTTGAGATGGTGCTAGACTACAGATAAACAAAACATAACATGCCCAGCACAGTTTCCCAGAAAGGAAATTTCAGATGACTGATTTTAAACAATTACATTTAACTTGCCAATTTCTTAAGACTATGACCCTCCTCTTTAATGATACCAAATGTAAAAAACTATGGAAAATGCACAAAGATTTGCCAATTCACCATTTACTACCAACACAAAAATGAAGGGTGGTATTCGTGAATGCCTCTAATGAGTGAGAAATACCTGTATAAGCGTATTATAAAAAAGGCTTCTTGTTTACATTGGGAAAAACAGTCCTATACATAACTGCCATACTGAATACAAAGCATTACTATATATTATTATATGTACAAAAGAATAAAAACCTTTTTTCAAAAAAAATTAGAAGGTTTTTGTGTTGACTTGCCAAGACCTAAGAATGTTCCTGTTTCTGTAAGTAGTCTCTGTACAGCTTCTGAAAAGGGGGACAGCTTCACAGGTGAAATAAAAGGAATCCATTGACCATTTCACCTGCTGTGAGCACTGCTGGGTTTCTTCACATATTTATAATTAGGTCATCTGGTACCTAAGAAGGTAGCATTCATTCAAACTTTGCCTGCAGCTGGGTCACTAATTAGTTCCTGTGTAGATGCACCGGTGTCAGGTTTTATTCAACTCACCACCATTCTAAAGCTACTGCTTTTTTTTTTTCTTCCCTCCAATGCAACCAGTTGTTGCAAAGTTTGACTCTCTTTTAAGTGGAAGAATTCATATCATGGCTGAGTTGCTTAAAATGGGAAAAAAATCTGGAACCATTCTGGCATGACTTATTACTGCATGGTTCCACCATTTTTTAAAGACAGAAAATTTCTCAACTAAAACCTCCAGACTTCAACATACAAAACCCATCTTCCACCACCCACCTGTTCCTTACTGTAGTTTTTTCTTAACTTTCACGTTCATAGAGACCTCATTTGTTCAACCACTATATTAGTTGGCACATCAAGCATTTAACTTCAACAAGCAGAGGCTCTGTGATCTTCGTTATACATCAAATACTCCTCTGAGAAAGCTTTCCACACCAGATGGTGTAAATGCTGATATGTTGAAATAGTTTTAACAGATCTGCTATTTCCTTTTGCTACCCCCCTGTGGAGCTCGAGGAGTAGTGCAAGGAAAATACCAGCAAAAATCCACAAACTCCAATCCTGAATACACTCAAGCATTAAGGAAAACCTAGATCATTGTTTGCGGTAGTATTGACGGGTCTGCTCCCATGTTACTAATGTTGCTTATATATCACAAACGTTCAGATCGTTAGATTGCTCATGAAAATCCTGAAAACTATGTAACTTTTAGGGTGAATAACTTTTTGCCTTAAGAATCACATAGGTGTGCAACAGGAACAATCATAAAACTCAAAATCAACAAAAGACGACCCTTAACACTGGTCATGCATGCATTCAGTAAACACAAAAGATTACTACACTAACAGCAGCCAGGATCAAAATGGTACCTTTTTTTTTTTTAGTCTAGGAAGAAAATGGTTCCTTCAGTAACTTAACTAGTTTTAGTTTGGTATAATGCTTGTTTTATTAGCACCCTATGACTTAAGATTGAGAATATTAAAACGAGAATGCTTATCTGCCTGAATTTTTATGTCTGGCTTAAGTGAAAGTTGTTGGGACTGAGGAAAACAGTGCAATGCTAGAGATACCAGCTAGACAAAAGTTATTTTAGAACTGCAATGCTTTAAGGTCCTTACAAACACACGCATCCAGCGCTGTAACAGACTGTTCCTGTACCAGAAGGCAGCACACCTGATCTGTGGCAGCACAGAGCTCGGTCTCTTCACTGCAGCATAGGTCTGGTGAGGTTGCTTTCAGCTTTGCTCTTGTGCTCCCTACTGCTGCCGCTGCAGTGGCATCAACACGTGCTTGCACTGCACAGTTCAGTTCCAGAGCAGGCTTTTACACCAATGGCCATGCTGTCAGAAATGGCAACAGTGCAATGAGCTGGCGAAATATACACAGCTCCAGGGTGGAGAACCCACAGCACAGAAGAAGAGTTAGACTACCTTGAATTTGCCTCTCCCTTATTTATTTATTTTCACCAGTATTACAAAATCAAAAACATTTCTCTATGAGAGTCCAAAGAATGATCACACTTAAGTGTATGCCTTTCTTCACCTGCTATATGGTAAAATTCCCCAAACAGGTTCAAGCACAAGACACAGAAGTATCAGTGCAGTAACAGTCTACGCTTCATCCATCTGAGGGTCTTAAACACTCATACGTGTTAAGCATCATCACAATCAGCTACGAGTCTTTGTGACAACTAACAACCAATTAATATATCTGTGTTGCTTTTTTCTGTTTTTGCGGTAATAAGAGGAGGATGGGAATGGCATTAAAAAGACTTTCACTTAAAAGGAGGTAAAACCACGCGCTACATAGAATTTACAGTTAAGAGAATAAACTTCCTGTCTCTGTAAAATAAAGACAGCTTATAAGAGATTTCTACACACCAGAACAACTGGGAGAGTTACTTCACCTCAGAAAACGAATTCATATTTTGGTCAAAACACAAACCCAGAGTTTCCCTGTAACTGGCCTGCTCATCCCCAACACAGGCCGTCATTGGAG